GAACTGGACAGACAAGAAAGTTTTCCCAAAGTGTACGGTAACTGACTGCAAAAACAGGAAGTAAAATTTTGTCAAAGGTCCAACTTTAAATGCTACACTGTTGTGCTCAAAGAACAAAGAGCACACTTTCTATTTGTGACAAATCTCTTGCGATTGCTGAAAACGTAGATTAAATCCTTGCATCGTCAACAGAACTATTATGATGTATATAAGATATAAGCATGACGTTTACTTCTCGTTCCTGAAAAGGCAGTCTGATATTAATTTAAACACCCAAACTTGCTTCTAAATACTCATTCAAAGGTGTGTGTCTCGCTGGAGACTATGTCATGTCGAGTCCCTCTCGAACTATTTTCTAATAACTAATGTTCACGAACTAATTCGGAGGAGTCCGACTCCTTGCATCTGCGTGATAGAACTTAGAGAACAAAACTGAACTGCCAGGTCCACCGAACCACTCAACCAGAAGTGAGTTCGCCCTGTGAAGTCGGAAACCACCTAGTGGAAACCACACTTGTTGAGAATTGCGAATTAGTCTTAGGACACGGAACACCAGCTTGTAGGTAGAACCAATTTGTCGAAGTTCCTAGGTGAGTTTTCTCATGTCAACCTCCCAACCAGATCAAGAGACTTAGTAACGCACTGACCCAGAACATTGGCATAATAGACAGACAGTATATCGCCATCTCATATTCGAATGTATGTATCGGTGGTGCCAGATGGCGACAGATGGTGATAATGATAATTATGGTAACTACAGAGACCATGAGACTTTGCAAGCTTTATGCTCGTGTCCATACAAACAATTTTCTGACAAGGTAATTATGGTGACCGGATTTTATTAACGACAATCGATGAGAATGTTTCCCACACTCGAATGACTACTCTTCACGCTGGAGTCAACCGCTATATCAAGTAAACGGAAGCAAAAACCAGTGGTGAAACCGAAAACCGATGCCCCAAACACTGTTGGATCTCAATTGAGAGATTAGGCGTATCGGTGGGATAGACGAAGCCTACGTTTTTGTACAGCGCACGTTCTACCAGTTGAACTACAAGGATGGCACTGATTGTTCACAACTCAAACATAAGAATATTGACCGTCACAAGCTGTCAAGCAACATTACTGGCCTGCTTGTGTGCTTTTACAGATAAAGGGTGAGAAAGAATCGATCTTACGCCTATTCACACACCGGTCTCAGCGTTGACAAAACAAGTCTATCATCAATGACGAAATACAGAAAACAGCGCACAGAAAATCAACACATCCGTTTCGGTCAGGCAGCGCAATGATCAACACCGCCTATTTTATCAATGTTTTTTGTTTAAACTCAAGCGTCTGTGAATGTCGTAGATCCCGTTAGATAAGCTGGTGTCAATTCAAAGAGAATACACTGGTTCAAATTATTTCCTGCAAAAAATTTAAATGCTGGAGAAACGGACTTCTGTGTCAAACTCATGCGTCACGGGGACGTTAACAGTTTGGAAGAAATAAATCTGCAGTAGAAAAACAAATACTCCAGTGGTAGGTAACGGTACAACGAGGCACACACAAATGGTCTCAGTTACACATCCTTTAAGAGGGTAAACCCACGTGACTCAGACAGAGAATTGTCTTAGTTGTTTCTCAAGGGCCTGGAATAGAATGAATATACCCTTGAAAGAGATAGAAAAGGGAAACAGATAAGATCAACTTATGCGTCACTGCTATCCTTGTTTACCTGCCAGGTGCTACAATTTGAAGGAATCTATACCGGCATTTAAACAGAA